TTTTTTTTTATACATGAAAGTATATATATAGTTATAAACATATTATAACATGTTACTTATATTATCTATACAAAAAAATCTTCTAATATATACACACAACATACAAGGCCGGCTGCAGGGGGGAGGCAACCCAGGCATGGGCCTAGGGCCTCCCTTTTATTTGGGGCCTCGTATTTTTATTTTTAATATTATATATTTGTGTTGAGTTTTGTCTATCTACATAAATGAGGCCTCATTATTTTTTTAATATTATGTATTTGTGTTGGATTTTGTTTATTTACACAATATTTGCACAAAAGAAGGGGTTAATGGCTAAATATGGACTTAAATCATTACACAAATGAAGGAGCTAATGGCAAATAGGTAGTTTGTGTGGAAAATTGAGACCCTAAATATTTCATTTGTTTTCGTACGATGTTCGGTCAGAACAAGTTGTGTGAAAATAAATATTCTTTGTAGTGTTATGATTTTTATTTTCTTGTCTTTAGTGTCCTCGTGATTGGTTGATTGTAATTTATTAAAGATTTTTTGAAGCCTGGAGGTAATTTATCAATTCCAAGTTCAAGAAAAACAAGATTTTTTTTTTCAATTATTTATTTATTTATTTATTAGTCTCGTTAAAATTTATGATTCTATCTGCGAATAGCCCTAATTACCACGTAAGTTCAAATCGAGAAAATTCGAAAAGAAAAAACTTGCCTAGGGCCTCCGAATTTCTGGAGACGGCCCTGACAACATATACTGAACCGTTTACAAAAAAAAATCTTCTAATATACTGAACATATACTCACTATACACACCACATATACTGCATTACAAAAAATCTTCTAATATGCTGAAGATATACTCTCATACACACCACATATACTGTTTGTCTATACACTCAACATATATTGCTGTGAACATATATTGCATGCGCAACATATACTACCGTGAATAAATACTATACATATACTGTAAATATACAATACAAACACTAAAAAATGGCTCAAGGATTAGGTTCTCAGCCAAATCCTTCACCAAGCCCAAACAACAAATCTAGGGTTTTAGAACGGAAGCCATTGAGACGCCTTGTCTCGGTTTTTCCGAACTCAAATGACTCATCTTCAGTTTCAATCCCACACCCCATACATTTCACTTGTATTTTTCCATCTGGCCCTTTGTAGCCCAGAGTTCAACCGTTTTACTCGTTTATAGCCTCAAATGGTGCTCGGTCCGGGACCACGGCCCGAGCTCGGTCGGGGAGGATGGTGCGAGTCGATGGTTTCCATCAGCGAAAAGCCCCAGCGAAAATACACCCGAACACGGGCTGCCGGCGAGTCGATACCTTCCATCAGCCCCGCCGTCGACCTGAAAGAGAGAGGTACTCGCCATCATATCTGCTTGAAAACACTATATGCTATTCCCTAAATGTTGTATTTTTCTCATTTCAAATTCGAGGAAATCAAAGTTGAGGACAGAAAAATGATAAATAAAATAATAGGAAAATGAACACAGTAATAATACTTGCGGTGTTCGGAACTTGGAACTTGAACTTGGAAATTTCCTTCAAATTCTTTGCGGCTAATTTAATTAGGGCTACGGGTAACTTTTCCTTCTTTTCCTGCTTTTGTACTTTCAAATTATTTATGGGTTGGGCCATTTATTTATGTAACAGTTGTTGCTATCTCTTAGGTATAATTGCAAAGACTTTTGGATGGTTTGGTAATATTATAAATCAGAATATACTAGAATATACTAGCTGTATTAATGCAAATTCCTCTAATCATATCTGCCAACCACCCACAACACTATAAAATTCAGAGTCAAATGCCCATCAAGAGCAGGAACACAAAGTTCCGCAGACAAACTCTCACAAGAACAGTCACAATAAAATCTGTAAAAATAAAAAATAAAAAATCGGGCGCCCAAAAAAATGTATATATATAAAATAAATAAATAAAAAAAGGGGGGATGGAAAAGGAGGTAAAACCCCTCCAAACACCACAGGGATGTTCCTGAGCAATGCAACTACGTCCATTTGCTTGCAGTCTTTGCTCAATCATCGCCAAGAAGTTTCCCCATTGCATTTTCCAGCAAAGGAATGGTCTTTAGTAGTGGGACATTTCAATGGTGGGCCCAGACAGCTAGAGGCGAGCAAGTAATCGGGCCTCGAGAAGATCATTGGGCTTGCAGTTTTGTCCTCGCAAGGGGTTGCGTCCAAGTTGCTTGCTTCCTTTTTAACTTAACATCATAACACGAGAGTAACTATTAAGATTATGGAAAAATCGAATCAACGAATGTTAAGCAATACAAGGATAATTGCAGAACCACCCCTTATGAAAAATGCAACTTTTTCGGAGATAACAGAGCTCCCACCTAGAGTCAGGAATCCCATCAACTGTATTCTAAAATCGTGTCAAGTGACAGTTGTATACTGAAATATTTTGCTAAGGTTAGCAATGAACAAATGGATGATTAATGTTTAGTCTAATTACAAATATCCACTCTCGTAAACATCCAAAATAAGTCCTTGAGGCAATATTTATTAACCTTACAAAAAACTGTACCTGGCAAATGGTTCTCCGGCAGATGGGTATGATCCAGGGAAGTGGGAGTAATGGGTCGACTCTCACTGAAGACGGATGATGGAGAGCAGGCCAGGGAGGAGAGGTGGTCTTCGTAACCCTCCCAGTGGGTCTCACTGAAGAAAGCATTATCGTTGTCTGTGCTCCTCAGAGCCTCCGACCCGTACAAAACATCCTCTAGGAGGCCGCTGCTGCACGCGGGCCCACGCTCCTCTGGAGGAGTCTGGATGAGGACATCGACCTGCTCGAAGAAAGGCATCTGGGGGTCGCTTTGGAGTGAAGGGAGCTCGACATTATGAATAGTCGAGTTGTGTTGGTACTGAGGAAAAAGGAAAGACTGGTGCAAGGAGCTGCAGACACCCGGGAAGAGGGGTTCGGGCCCCCGGGGGCGCTTTGACTGCTGGAATGCTGTGGAGAAAGGCTTAGCGTGGATGCTATACTGGTCGAGGCTGCTCGAGGGGATGTCAAGGATTGGGGCGTGGGGCCTGCAGCCGGAGGGGCCTATGTCGAGGAGGGGCTGAGGGGGGTAGAGGTACTGCTGCTGGTGCTGCTGGTTGAGCTGCAGGCCCTTGAACTCGATAGAAGGGATGTTGATGAAAGAACTGACCGCGGGTTGGTGGGGCCCGTCAGGGTCAGGGGGTGAGAGGGAGATTGGGTCATCCTTGTTTTCATTGGGCGACAGTGATTGGAGTGAGATGTCTGGCGGGTAGATGGGTAGGCCCGCCCGTTGCCGCCGCTTCATCCGGGTGTTCCAGAAGTTTTTTATCTCGTTGTCCGTGCGCCCAGGTAACTGAGATAAACAAAAAAAGTTAAAACTTTAGGCGGATCGAATCTTCTTACAGGGATGACCATGTTCACCATCTACAATACTAATCTCTCCGAATCATGGCAATGAATGAGGGGGGGAAATTGAACTTCAGTTTTGTCCATTTCCAAAACATCCCACTGATGAACTATTTTTTGCAACAGAAACTGCATATCATAATAAGTTCACTCACTTACACATACACCTTCATTCTCAGGGGAAGAGTTCACCTTTTAAATCATTTTCCACTACAACAATGCACACAGCTAGTGTATAAACTACTGAGCACACACGTTCACACGTGCATATAGACACATGCTAAAGAAAGAAATGGACAAAGAAAGCTGACATATACCTCAGCTGCCATTCGGGCCCATTTATTTCCCATCTTGGCATGAAGCTCAATTATATGGCGCTCCTCCTCTGGGGTAAATGCTCCTTTCTTTAGATCCGGTCTCAAGTGATTCGCCCACCTAAGACGGCAGCTTTTCCCGCATCGGACCAGGCCCGAGTGCTTTTGGACTGCATTCCAGTTTCCTTCCCCGTGCTTCGTCACATATTCAATTAGAATTGCATCCTCTGCAGTGGTCCATGGGCCCTTTTTAAGTGGGCTGTGATTTCCCGCATTTGGCCCTCCGCTGCTGGTGTCGTCAATGGACGGTGAATCCACGCCGTTGGTCACCATAAACTTCTCATCACTTTCGCTTGTCATACTCATCTCCTAATTTGTCAAAAATTTAGTAAAGAATAACAAAAGATATACAGAAACAAAGAAGAAACATCAATTATGGTCGCAGTTATGGATTCGAACAGAGCTGTCGCGACAAAATGCATGGTCATCGCATGTTCATATCATTTCTTTTTGGGAAACAATTGTCGCAATGACGAAGAAATGAATATTTTGCAATAAGAACAACAGATGACGGTGAGAACTTTATTCGGAATAATGTGTACGAGATCGTTGACAAGCGACAAAACATTTATGTATTTGACAGACCAATCACATTCTCCCGTACACTATGAAAAGTCAATTTACAGAACATAAACTACAATTCAAACAAATCTTACAAGCCATCTATTTAACTAACTCTCACGAGTCAAGCTGACAAAACCTCAAAAACAAATGCAGAGCTAAAACCAAAATACAGTCGAAAGCCACCAATGTGAAAAACAGAACACATGCCACAAATAACACCTGGTAATTTATACAATTCACAAAAGAAAAGGCAAGAAAGAAGATTTGAATCATCCAACAACTACTGAAAAGTACTTAGACCAACGATTATGAGGATGCGTGAACACAATAATAGTGAACGCTCAGTGAAACCCGTAAACAACCAAATATTACAAACAACACAATTTCTCATTTCTAAAACTTCGAAATAATAATACATTGCTGCAGTGAAGACGAAATGCTAATTATGCCTTCAAGATTTGATACTAATATCAAAGACTACATGCAGTCAGAAACATGACCTCATATAATTTAGTCAAAAGAATTAAAACAATCTACCATTCACAGTTATTGATGATAATGAAGAACTTATCCATTAATTGTGCACACCACAGAAAATATAAAGAACTTCATGCATACAGAGTGAAAGCCTCACTGCAGACAAAAAGGAAATAAGGAAAAAAAAAAAACAGATTATTCAATGATTCCAAAAGAATTGGGATTCTTTAAAAATAGAAACTTTGATTTACTATCAAAGAACTTATAATATTTAGCTGGATAACAATTTTAGATCATATTTGTCCAAGATCTCAAAATTACAAAAGAGAGTTAAAAAAAAAAAAAAAAAGTGTCCAATCATCCATGGGTAGTAAGTAAACATAAAATATCAGAGAAAACAGCATTTATTCACAAAAACAAGAGTGTGCAGAGAACATTAATTGGAAAAAAAAAGGGAGAAATTACTCTCTCTCATGCAAATTTCACTACCTTTATTTATGCAGAAGACAACGAATCAACTTCAGCTGAAATCGAATCAGTCCCTTGAAAAGCTTAGATACACAATATCCAGATTTATTTTTATTTTTGGAAAAAATGGTAATTTCTTGAATGAAAAAAAAAAAATGAGATCAAGAAAACTCAAATCTGGCCTCAAAAATTATGCTCCCCAAAAACAGGAACCAACGAGACAAGCTTACAATTCTGTTGAAGGGCAGACAAAATCAAAACAATCACAAATGCGAAGCTTAACTTTTGTT